AAATAAATGCGAAAATAAGACGAGCATAAACATCATGCAAATACCGAGCGCACACTTAGAAAATTCTCAAAAGATATATTAAGCAAAAGCGGGCACCAACCCAGTAGTCAATATTACACGAACAAGGGCACGCAAGCCCAACAAGAAAAACAAGTTACAAAATATCGGCACACAGGCCAGGAAACTACGAGCACGCAGGCCCGGGAAACCTATACAACCTCGCCCACCTGCTCAGCAACCACGGGGACATTGTCGGGAACGACAAGCTCGGGGTTAACTACCTTCCCGTCAACGATCTCATGATACAGCCCAATCCCTTCCACGATCAACGCGATTCCAGGGTTGACAACTTGGATTTGCGCAACGGCGCTCTTGAACCCGACCTCGACAGCGTCCAGACAATCGCCTTCCAACACCCGAATCCGGGCGACCAAATCAGCACGCGTGATCAACCGCTGGTCCTCCTCAGTCTCGTCCTCGGCCGGACGAAGTGCGCTGTCCAGGACTTCCATGCGAACTTTCAGCGCTTGCACCTCGGCCACTGCCGCCCCCAGCTTCTCCTCCATCGAGGTCACCTTCTCCTCAGCACCCTCCGCTCGCTTGCGCTGGTCAGCAGCATCTTTCCGACTCTTCTCCAGCTCCTCGGTAAGCTTGGCCAGGCGCGACTGCATGGAGGTAAGGTCCCCCTGCAATTTGGACAGCTCAGCAGCAGAGCAACCCTCCTCGCTCAGGATAAGGGCCGTCGTGAACGTCCGCATCATCGCGGCCAAATCCTCCGCCAGGATACGTCGACAAGACTCTCGATCGGCTTCACGGACAACCTTCACTTCCCCAGCAGAGACGGTAGGAGACCAGGCCCCATGAAAATATCCCGGATGTTGATGGCACGGCGGAACGACATAGTCCTCCTCGGCCTAGCCGGTCGTCAGATCAATTAAGCCGCGGGGCTCCTCGGATCTCGGCCTCTTCGCAGCTCCCTGGGACGCAGGAGACTGACTCTCCTGGGTAGAAGAAGACAAACTCTGACCTCCTGGCGTCACGTCCTCCTGCCCAACCATTTGACTCACCCGCGTCTTCGGGACCGCGGCGGCCCTTGACGCGCGCAGCTTCTTCACTCGCTCCTCGACGGAAGACATGTTCGCTGCAAAAACAAACAGAGAGTTAGCAACGGACAAAACATACGATCACGAGAAAGAAGAAAACGTTCCTACCTAGATATTCCAGAGCGTCCGCCCCCGTGGCGCAACCGAGCAGGGTCTTCGTGTTAATCAGCCTTTTCTTCGTCCGCACGTTCCCCTGCGCGTCGAGGATGTACCGACCGTCGGGCGTCACCAGTTTCGACGGGGGAAGATCCCGCACGAAGGCCATTATTTTCATGTAGGCGGCCATGTCCCTCTTGTCGAGAGTCTCAGCCCGCACGATGTACTGGTCAGTGCCACGGTTGAAATGCTCCGAGGTCCACAACAAATGTACCTTGGGGAGCCACGCAAGGAACCGCTGACCGTCTACCATTCGCTCCCCCTCGGTGAAAAGAGTATCCGAACCTTCCTGGGTGATCAGTTTCACGAGGAAGAACCGACCCTTGAAATCTCGAACGGAATCGATGTACGTCTTGAAGAGCTTGGTCGGCTGCTTAAACGAGACTCATCCCTGACGGCCGTTCACCGAATGGCGTTGCAGGTGGAAGATGCGGAAAAACAAGGGCACCGTGGCCTCCACCTCGAGATAAAAGCACACCACCTCGAACGCGCGGATAAAGGCCAAAGCGTTAGGATGCAGCTGGGACGGGGCCAAACGCAACCAATCGAAAAGGCCCAAATGGAAAGCGGAGAACGGCAATCTGAGCCGGGCCTCTGTGAAGTAGAACTCGTGCATGGGAAACATCCGCCGCCCATATCGCGAGCAAATGCGATGGTGCTCCTTCGGGCAATACACCTGCCAGTGTTGCGGCTCCCCTTCAGGCGTATCCTCCACGGTAGCGTAGACATCGGACGCGTCAGCCACGAAGCAAGAGGGGGTGGACAACGACTCTTCGGCCACCCACTCTTCGACGGGAAGGACACGCTCGTCGAAATCCGGGACCTCGGGTTCATTATCTTCGACCATCGTCCCCGGTATCAAGGCCGACATCTACACCTGAAAAGCAGAGGACAATGGTGAATTCGATGGCCAAGATCAAATCCACCCTTCCACCGTAGGTCAAGTGAAAGGGCGACAACGACGAGAGGACGACGAGCGTGCAGGCGCTCCCCGCTGCTCCTCCATGGGGCGTTCAAAGGCTAACCTATCACCCTCCCCGGGATACTCATCGGAAAATGCACGCGTCCCCGGGGCATTCATCGGAGAAAGCCCCCGTCCTCGGGGCATTCATCGGAACAACCTAGCCTCCCCGGGGCATTCATCCAAACTAACCCAGAAAACCGCCAGACACGGCGGAACTCGCGTCTCTCCTCGGGGCATTCATCACGCCCCGACCACAGACCCTGATTAAACGGCAGAAATAAAAGGAGAAAAGAGAGAAACTCACTTGTGACGGCGGCGAACGGGAGGGAGAACTAACGGCGCAGCGACGATCTACAACAACGGCGGACGAGCAGGAATCTCAGAGTTTCACAGGCAAAGACAGCAAGGTGGAAAGTAAAAAAATGAGCGGGGACCCCCATATTTATAACCCGGCGTGGAACTCGAAGCGACACTAGGCTCTTAAATGACCTAGGGTAGCCGCCCTACTACCCATTCAACGTGAGACACGTGGCAGTAACCTGACGGTCGCGTCCCTTCATATACCTTTCCCCTGCTCTCCCGACGACAAGAAGACCCTCGCGCGTGCACGCGTTCCACCGGGCATAAGACCGACGAGCCTCTCGCCTTGCTACCTCTCTTCCCGAAGCAACGACCTTAAGTCCTCGCTCTTTCGCCACAGAGCTTCGACTTGGGGGGCTCCTGTACTGGTCTGGGCCCAGCCTCGCGGTCCAGCCCAATAACGCACAAGGCCCATTAAGTGGGATAGCCTGACCGGACACACACCCCCTAGGACGGGCAGGATACGCTCCCCTCCGAGCGGGACGGCACGTCCCGAAGCATCCTCGGCGCCCCCTTTTGGCCGAACGGAACGCCCCCGGGCCATCGGACAAGACCACATGGCTCTTCCGCATCCTCGCGTGCTCCCCTCCGCGGGGAGAACAACGCGCCTCCGGGGAACCTCTCGAGCTCCCCTCCGCGGGGAGAACAACGCCCTCCAGGAACCCCGCGAGCTCCCCTCCGCGGGGAGAACAACGTGCCCGGTGCGCGTTCTCCACGTGCTCTCCTCCGCGGGGACACGTCATCAACCAACCGCCCACCTCCGAAAGAGTAGGTCAAACCCACTTTCCGGAAATCAAGGAGCAGTTGGACTAGGGCGAAGACCACGTCCTGGTCTTCACTACGCCACGTAAGCCCTAGCGGTCACCTGGGTTGGGCCTAGCAATCCAGCCAACGCAAGTGACCGTTGGCCCAGGGGGTCTCTCTATAAATACCCTCTTCCTCAAGAGAGTCAGGTAATTCACTTCTTACCCACTTTCTGTACTTTGCTCTCACTCTGCCCAAATTCTTACTTTGGCATCGGAGTGTCTTGCAGGTACACCCCCCTTTCTCCTCCTCATCACCGACGAACAGGTAGCAGTCCAACAGAGTGTGGTCAGCCCGTGATCCCCTTCTGATCAGGTCAGATCCATTATTATTATTATTATTATTATTTATATTATTATTATTATTATTATTATTATTATTATTATTATTATTATTATTATTATTATTATTATTATTATTATTTTTATTATTTTTATTTTTATTATTCTTATTCTTATTCTTATTATTATTATTATTATTATTATTATTATTATTATTATTATTATTATTATTATTATTATTATTATTATTATTATTATTATTATTATTATTATTATTATTATTATTATTATTATTATTATTATTATTATTATAGGCACAAATTAAATGTTATTTTAAATTTAATATTACACATTAACATCTTATGTTATAATCACCTTTTTTCTATTAATATCATTTATATTATTGCTGAGAGATAAGTTTTGGTGGATAGGTCTGGTCCACATTCGGACTATACTCCCATGTAAAATAAATGATGCCCATGCAGTTTCGAAAATGAAACTTAGCCTATTATATATGCGTTCATTGCTCTAAATAAGATTGGAAGAAATACTAAATAACAATACAATTTTATATTAAGTAATTTTTACACTTAAAATAAACAATATTTTTATTTTTTGAAAAATAATTTTTTTTAAAACATAATAAATTACCGTGTGTATATATATATATATATATATATATATATATATATATATATATATATATATATATATATATATATATATATATATATATATATATATATATATATATATATATATATATATATATATATATATATATATATATATATATATATATATATATATATATATATATATATATATATATATATATATATATATATATATATATATATATATATAAACGACTAAAATTATGAACGCATAATTTAAAAAAAAATTATCTTTGTCTGTGTCTGAATTTGATTTTGTCTTATTAAACAGTTCGTTGCAATTATTTGTTATTTTCTTCTCCATCATCGCTGTATTTCTAATTTTGGATAAAGAGGGCGTGAAAAACAAGATCATTGTATTATTGCTGTGTTATAATTTTTGGGTATGTGGGGGTTGGAAATGTTGATAGTTGCATTATTGAATAAAAAATATTATAAGAAGCTGACAAGCTGACAGAGCAAATCAGCTGAGAACTGATGTTGCTTTTAGAAATCTTGTAATTTGTAGTTTCATTTAAGCATTCAAATATAATGAGTGTGTTTTTAAGTGATAAAGAAAAGGAACAAAAATCTCTCTATCTGTTTCATTAGTCCTTTTTGGTTTACAGAAAAACAAGAGCATTGTTTTGTGCTTGTTGTGTTGTAATTTGTAAACATGGAAGATGAAAATGTTAGAGATGCATTATTGAAGAAAAACTACTATGAGAATTGTCCTGGTTGCAAAGTTGACAAAGCAAAAGAGCTCAAAACTGATGTGACTTTACTAAATCTCTTGAACATTTGGATTGTGGTTTTATGCAGCTGTAAGCTAATCATTCATTGATGTTTTTCTTTTATGTAATTCTCTTGCATGACTGATATATCTTTGTTTTTGTGTTTTTCAGCTTTGCCTATAGCAACTCTCTTTCCTTACCTATATTTCATGGTAATTTATGTTTAACTAATAATAATTATGGTTCATTGTTAGTTTTATGTTTTGTTCACTGTTAATTTATCTTTACTTAATAATAATGTCACATTTGATGTGATTAGTACTTTTTGTTTTAGGTAAGAGATTTCAATTTTGCAGAAAGAGAGGAGGATATAAGTGCCTATGCTGGTTATATAGGTAAGGTTTATGTTATTTATACGTGGCACCGATATTTCTAAAAAAAATGCGTGTTCTTATCAGGGTCGGTGTTTGAAACCAAATCAAATAGTTGTAATTATGTTTTATTTTTATTTTTTTTCAAATTATTGCCTACGTGAAAATGTCAGTATCGATGTCGTGTTTCTGGTGTCTGATAATCTTGATCCTAATATAAATGTTAAAATGTTGTAGGATCTGCATTTATGCTTGGAAGATCTTTGACATCTATATTTTGGGGAATAGTAGCTGATCGTTACGGTAGAAAGCCTGTTGCAGTTTTTGGAATTTTATCAGTGTAAGTAAATATGTTATTGAAAAAAGTTTCACCTTATGTTATCTTTGTTTAAAAATTGTTTGTATTTAATACTTACATGATGATGAATGTTTGAGTTATATCTGTTTAATTAAATTGTTTATCTAATTAGAATCTAAAAATATTTGGTAACATTATTGATGATGATGATGATAAATATTTGATTTCAGTATTGTTTTCAACACATTGTTTGGTCTTAGTACAAGTTTTTGGATGGCGGTTACTATGCGATTTTGTCTAGGATCTTTAAATGGTTTGCAAGGACCAATGAAGGTATCAATCAACACAAATACAACCAGTTTGTCATTTGTATATTTGAAGATTAGTTGATTATTTTGTCACATCGTTTTCTGATAACAGGCTTATAGTACCGAAATTTTTAGAGAAGAAAAGCAAGGCCTTGGACTCTCAACAGTAAGCTTTTATATTCTATGTTCAACATTTGTTAATGCTTGATACCAACAAGACACGGACACATGTTTCAATTACTTTTATCTACACAGTAAGTTTAATAGTGTTAAGTGTATCACGTATTAATGTTTCATGGTTAATATCTCCTATAATATTATGTTTGCAAAAAGCCTTGTATAGGGTGATGCCCTGGGACTGCTCCAAGAGAGGTGACGATGAAAGGTTGTATAGAGGGAGGTATCGCCTCGCCCTATGGTCTTACTTCGCCCATATGTGGAAAAACATGGGATAAGACGTTTTTTAGAGCAAAGAGAAAGTCAAGGTCATTAACTGACCCACGACTCCCTTGGTAATATGGATTCAACTATCCACCATTTGACTGAGTGGGTGGTGGCCCTTTTTGAGAAAACCCTAGGTCCTAGAAACCCCTATAAATACATCACCCCTCAAGGGAAAAATGATTGACTCTAAGTCGTGCATATCTTCTACTACCTAAAAGGGCACCATGCTCCATGTACAATAACACACAATTAACCTAATAGCCCGCCTGCAATCAAGTAGCGTCGCCCGCCAGTAGGGCCTCTCACCTTACGTGAGTTGGTCCCTTAAATAGCCTCAAATACCACTGTACATGATTTCTCGCCACCGTGAGCAAGGTTTCACCACCTAAATGTGTTATACACCTACTGAGGCCTCTGATTCTCCATGCCCTTATAGGAGGAACATACACACCTGCATTTTTTGCCCAGTACAGTGGCGCCCACCATGGAGACCCCGTAAAACTAAATTGGGCCATATTCTCACTCCAACCCTCTCGCCCCCTCTTCTGGAGATGATTAACAAGGTCCTACGTTACGAAGCCAACACCATTGCTAGTGGTATCTCCGAGAGAGGAAATTCTAGAGCCGCCCAAAGAAGATACACAAGGCAGGTGTTCGCGAAAAACCTCATCTCCCCTGGCTTCCCTGGAAACACTATAAGAAAAGCAGGGTCCGACATCGTTTCTTCGAGGAGGATGCCTTGTGTAACACCCTTCTTAACCCCGCGGAACATCTAATCAGAGTAATTATCATGCATCTCACAAAAAGGTGTCACATATAATTTTAAAACATCACACAAATACCTGTCATGCTCATTAACACTTAAAATAAATTCATACTTTTCATAAACTTTCACCTTAGCTTGTAGCAGCGGATTTAATTTAATCATAACTGACATAATGAAAGTCTCATACTCATCTCATTCATAATCAATACTTAGGCATAAAAGCCAATATTCCACATAATTCAAATAAACATAATGACATATAGAAGAGTGCATAATGTATCTCTCAAACATAAATCGAAACGATCCCAGTGTTACATGATCAGAGCACGACTCAACCCAACATAAATAAATACACTAAGCAAGCTACTCCAATAGCTACCTCGCGCTAGAAGCAACTCTACTCCTCGGTACTTGAGCGATGTCGCATAAAACATCATTCCAACAGAAGGGTGAGAATTCACATAATTATCGAAATTATAAGATAATATATAATTTAAGGCAAACAAGTATAATCACAATTATTCACGTACTTTAAAAGTTTCATCAACAAAATATCACTCAAGTAACCATACCATTCATAAGTATATACATACAATCCATAATTTCACCAATTTCAACAATTCACATAGATACACATAATCTCATAGAGTAAACATATACACAATGAGAGTCAATGAAAAACTCAATGCAAGACCCAATGAAACTCATGTCATGTGGTACCAACACTTGTTATTATTTTTCGGTTTTTACATTTAAATTGGGTCCGTGCCCTAGACCAATAACAAACAAAAGCTCGTCCCCTAGGCTTTCAAACCCCACTCTAGGTTTGGGACAAGTCACTAGTCTCCACGAAACTAGCAAGCACTGCCTCTTGACAACAAATGATGCGCATGCAAGTTCACAACCATATGCAATTAAGATCATTCCCTAATCTTAACATTCATCCATATCTTCAATAATTCATCACACTTGAATTATCACACAATCACACATACTTGCACATTTTTATCAATCATTCAAACACAATTCATTTTCAATGGTATACAACACATTTTACAATACAATCACAACGGTATTATCATTACAAAAAGAAATAAATATCATGAACTTCAGGTTTTCACACACAAAAATATACTTATACAAGCATACACACAAGTATTCGATAAATTATCCACAAATAACTTCACAACTGACAGCAACAGTGCAACAATTCAATAATAGAACATATACACTATAGAATTCCTAAACATATTAGATATAAAAATATTTGGCAACTAATTATATTATCTATACTATTTTATATATCTATTCATTAGCTTTCCAACACTTCGAACGGGGACTAAAACTGACTTACGGATTAAAAGTTATGGCCAAAATCGTCGGAATAGAAAATTTTACCAATACACAGCCTTGAGTCGACCGTCGGTCGACGCATGGCAAGCCGAAACGAAATCCAAAAAAAAACACCATCAATATGCGTCGACCCTGCGACGTATGAGTCGACGCAAACAACACAGAATGTAGAATTTTCTGCGTTTTCCACCGTTGGAGGCCTTCCAGACCTCCGATTTCAATTCCGTAAAAAGCCCTAGTTTTAGAATTCGAAATCCTATCATTATATGACAATTATAACAGTCCACAACACATATTTAAAGATCATATCATCATATATCATGTAATCATAATTTTCAAAACCATGGAAATTAGGGATTTCTATCCTAAATATGATACTACCCATCATACACTATCATACAATCCCAATAACCATATAAAAAACCCACCCTTACCTTAGTTTTTGGATGATTCTTGAGCCCTCTCTCTTGGTTATTCTTCTTCTCCACCCTTCCTTCTCTCTATCCTCTTTCTTTCTCTTTTCTAAATTTTCTTCTCTAAAACCCTAATTCTTAAGTTATTGGGCTTAGCCCAATTCACTTACTATTCAAACATTACACTAACTCACTAATCCTAGAAATCAATCATCTCACCAAATAAAAAGTAATTATCCGATAATTTAATTAATAAAAGAAATAGTGCCAACAACTCAATTAATCCAACCAACTCAAATAATTTAAATAATTTAAATAAATCTAATAAATTAATTAATTCAAATAAATAAATAATTACTAAAAATTGGGGCGTTACACCTTGGGCATGAACCCTCAGGACAATGGTCCCTTGGTCATCACCGTTTAACATGATAATTGGGATATGAGACGTGTTGTGATAGATTTGGTAGCTCCACCGATGTCCTATTTTGGGATGTCTTCTAGAAGTTACAACTGAAAATGGACGACATACATAGATTCAATGGCTATTTGTCGGGGTTATCGGGCAAACATGTACAAATAATGGGTAACGTGACCCAAAAAACCACATGCGGTGAGGAAGAAAATCCCAAGATCATTAACGTCAGCTACCTCATCATAGACATCATGTCACCCTACAATATCATCATGGGGTGCCCTGCTATCAACGCCCTAGGAGTGGTTGTATCCACCCGATATTTAACCTTGAAATATGCATTCCTAGATGGTAAAGTGAGGACCATACGAAGAGATCAACAAGTGACTCATGAATGCTATCTTAGCAGCCTAGAGACAGCTAGAGAAGAGCTTGCAGTTTTTGATACCCATCCTTCTGAAGTCCCAAATGGTGAATTTGAGAGTTGAGACCCCAGACTAGGCGTGGAGACAGAAAGACTCATGCCCCTGGAAATTTGTAGGAAGTCTAGATTGGTTCTCACACCCATCAAGTTATGAAAGTAGGAACTTCCTTTCCTGCAAAGGAGGAGCGGGAGCTAGTTGACTGACTCAGAAAGAACGTTGACATATTCACATAGGCCCCATCAGACATGTCAGGAATTAACACAAAACTCGTAAGCCATTGCCTTAGCATCCATCCCTCTGCTAAAACAATGGCATAGAGGAAATAGAAGGAAGGAAAGGAAAAGAGGCTCCTCATTGATGAAAAGGTGGAAAAACTATACAACACTGATTCATCACTGAAACACAATTCCCCACATGGTTGGCTAACATAGTCTTGGTACGAAAGGAAGATAATATATGGCACATGTGTGTAGACCTCACAGATTTGAATGATGTCTGCCTCAAAGATCAATATTTGTTGCTAGACATCGACCGTCTAATCAAAGGATTGTCAAGCTATCAGATGTTAAGTTTCATGGATGCTTAATTGGGATATAATCAGATCTGAATGGATCCCCTGGGTGCACCAAAAATCACATTCATGTCTAACTATGATAATTACTATTACAATGTCATGCCCTTCGGTCTCAAGAACGCTAACAACATGACCAGAGACTCATGGACGCAGTTTTGGCCCATCATACAAGACAAAATCTAGAGGTATATGTCAATGACATGATTATCAAAATAGAAGAAGAGCATATTCATGCCTAAGACCTGTAGGACATCTTACACTTAATAAGAAGGTATGCCATGCGCCTAAATCCCTTCAAGTGCTCTTTCAGAGTTCATGCAGGGAAAATCCTGGGTTTTATGCTGACAAAGAGAAGTATTGAAGTCAATCTAGACAACTGTCGAGCGGCCATTGGCATGAGGAGTCCCACGAGCGTAAAGGAAGTACAACAGCTTACTAAACACCTTGCCACCCTGTCTCACTTCCTCTCATGTGCAAGCAACAAAGCCTTCTTTTTCTTCATCGCCTTGAGGAAAAAGGAAAAGTTTGAATGGCCCACCGAGTGTGAGGAGGCATTCACCAAGGTCAAGGAGTTCTTCACATCACCCTAGATCCTTACTCACCCAAAGGAGAACGCGCATTTGTTCCTCTACCTCTCGGTTATCGAGCGAGCGATGAGCCAAGTTCTCGTCTAAAAAATAGATAAGATAGAGAAGCTTGTGTATTTCGTTAGCAAGGTGTTCAAAGGTGCTGATACACGCTATCATAAAATTTAGAAAATGGCGTTGGTCATTGTTGCTGCGGCAAGAAAACTCAAGACGTACTTCCAGGGGCACAACATCTTGGTAAAAATCAATTATCTCGTCTGGCAAGTTTTGAAAAAACCTGAACTGGAAGGAAGAATGGTATCCTGGTCAGTAGAGCTCTCAGAATATAACATACAATACATCCTAAGGGGGAGCATTAAATCTCAAGCCCTAGCTGAATTCAGCTCACCCACAAACGAGTACCCCTTTTTAGAATGGACGTTATTTGTGGATAGCGCTTCCAACATAAAAGGAAGTGGTGCAAGAATTTTTCTCGAAGTACTAGGTGATATAGTTATTAAGAAAGCGTTGAAGTTCGAGTACACCAACAACAACAATCAGGCAGAATATGAGGCCCTCATCACCGGTATGATCCTAGCCTTAGAAATGGGAGCCACCAGAATGAAGGCCAAAAGTGACTCCTAGCTGGTCGCCAATCAACTCTCGGCATAATATCAGGCCAAGGAGTCGTAACTGATAAAATATTTACAGAAGGTATGTAATTTATCCTCGCTCTTCCTCCCTTTTGAAGTAGAACATTTCCCCCGCGAACGGAACTTCATGGCAGATCTCTTGTCTAAGCTAGCCACCCCGAAGGTCGCAAGGTTTAATAGGACAGTCATGCAGGAGACTCTCGCCCCCCTAAACATCGAGGCATATTAAACATACTCCCTAGAACTCGTCCTCGGGTTCAATTGGATGTCGCCCATACTGCATTATCTACAGTCAGATGAACTCCTGATAGATGAGGGAAAAGCAAGAATGATCAACAGAAAAGATTCCACATACACCCTACTCTCAAGGAAACTTTATAGAATAGGGAAGGTCACTCTCATGCTGAGGTGCCTGGGCGAGAACAATATCGCCCCAGTACTCACTGAAGTTGACAAGGGAGCATGCAACAGTCACATTGGGGGAAAACCTCTTGCTCTCAAGTTATTAAAGGCATGGTATTATTGGCCCACGCTAATGAAAGATGATATCGCCTTCATCTAGAAGTGTGATCAGTTCCAGAGACATGGAAACCTTCACCACACCCCAATAAAGCTTTTCCAATTGATGAAATTGCCCTGGCCTTTCTACCAATGAGGCGTGGACATCTTGGAATCGTTCCCCTTGGTACCGAGTCAATTGAAATTCTTGATAGTGGGAGTAGATTACTTCACCAAATGGATAGAGGTAGAGGAAGTAGAAAAAATCACGACAGAAAGAGTACAATGTTTCTATTGGCAGAGGAATATGTGTCAATACAAACTCCCTGGTGCCATTGTCTCGGACAATGGGACTCAATTCGCCAGCACCGTTGTCACTAACTTTTTTAAATACTTGGGCGTGCAGATACATTTTTTGCATGTACTACATCCTCAAACCAACAACCCAACCGAGTTAATGAACAAGGTAATTCTCAAAGGACTCGAGAAGAAACTTGACAATGCGAAAGGGCTGTGGGCGGAGCTACTCTTTGAGATTATATGGTCACACCACACCACCCCATAATCTACTACCAATGAAACCTTATTTTCCATTGTCTATGGGGCATACACAATGCTATCTGTCAAGATCGAGACACCATCATGGCAACAAAACCATTTCATTGAAGAGGCGAATGAGATGAGTCTAAAATATGTGGCTGATCTGATCAACAAGTTACGATAAACTACCCATGTCCGAGAATTTTTTGCCAAACATAGGTCCACAAGGAGATACAACTCCAAGGTAAACTTGAGGGATATGCAGGAGGTGACCTAGTACTAAATGAATTAGTCATACTTGTACAACAAGGGAATCTTCAATCTAACTAGGAAAGACCGTATCACATATACTAATTGGGAAACTCCCTCCTAGAGTGTACAAGTTGCATGAACTTGAAGGACAACTTCTACCTAGGACTTTTAACACTATTCATATTCAATATTATTATAGTTAAAATTATTTGTAACTCTTCAATGAACATTATGCCCATGTAATTATGAGCAATTATTCAAGTGTTTTGTTTTTTTCCAGGGATACTCCCTCTATAAATGATTTCTTACTCGACTTCATTCTGAAGGTCATTACCATCCCTCGAGGCAATATCTTATGCTAGACTTCACTATGAAGGTCCTTGTTGTCCCCTCGAGGTGATATCTTGTGTCGGACCTCATTACGAAGATCCTTGCTGCCGCTCGAAGCAATTTTTGTGTTGGACTCCGTTACAAAGATCATTGCCACCTCTCGAGGTGATATCTTATGATGGATTTTATTAAGAAGATGCTTGACGCCTCTATAGGCGATATTTCATATTGGGCATCATTGCAAAAATAATTGTCATCCCTTGAGAAAATATGTTATAGTATACTTTATTATGAAGGTCCTTGCCGCCCCTCGAGGCGATATCTTATGTTGGACTTCACTCCAAAGGTCCTTGTCCCCCCTCGAGGAGATATCTTGTGTTGAACTTCATTACTAAGATCCTTGCCTCCCCTCGAGGTGATATCTTATGATGGAATTCACTATAAAGGTCCTTGTCGCCCCTCAAGGCGATATTTTGTGTTGGACTTCTCCACGAAGATCTTTGCTGCCCCTCGAGGTGACACCTAAGAAATCACGCCTAAGAGGCACAACCTATTTCAATACCCGGTAACTTGGTTTCCTATCTTACTTGAGGGTTCGATAAAAGTCCATCTTGAAAGGTTCAAACGCCTCGCCTAAGGGACCCAGTGTCTCGTCAGCTAGGGTATGTATTATAGCGTCTGAGGAGCTTAGATTCCTCATGCTAATTAGACTCTCTCCCGAGGGCCTCGTGTCTTTTCGGGCGAGCTTATTCTCAATAAATCACACCTAAGAGGTGCGACCTATATTAAGACCCAAAGACTTGTTTTTCAGTCTTGCTTAAGGGCTCAATATAAGTCCCTTCTGAAAGGTTAAAATTCTTCACCTAAGGGACTCACTGTCTCATTAGCCATGCTATATATTGCAACATGTGAGGAACTTAGATTCCTCAAGCTAACTAAACTCTCACCTGAGGGACTTTGTGTCCCCTAAGGCGAGATTATTTCCAATAAATCATGCTTAAGAGGTATGACCTATATCAAGCCCTAGAGACTTGGTTTCTAGTCTTGCTTTAGAGCTCAATAGTATTCCCGCCTGAAAAGGTAAAATGCCTCACCTGAGGAACTCAGTTTCTTATCATCTAGACTATGTATTGTAGTTTCTAAGGAAGTTATATTCCTCAGACTAAATAAACTCTCACCCGAGAAACTTCGTGTCCCCTCGGGCGGGATTATTTCTAGTAAATCACACCTAAGGGGTGCAACCTATATCAAGGCCCATAAATTTGGTTTTTAGTCTTACTTAAGGGCACAATAGAAGTCCCGCTTGAAAGGGTCAAACGCCACGCCTGAGGGACACAGTGTCTCATCATCCAGACTGTGTATTATAGCGTCTGAGGAACTTAGATTTCCCAGGATAATTAGACTCTCGCTTAAGGAACTACGTGTACCCTCGAGTGGGATTATTTCCAATAAATCACGCATAAGAGGCGGGACTTATATCATGCCTCAGAGAATTGGCTTCTACTCTTGCTCGAGGGCTCGATAGAAGTCCCTCCTGAAATAGTCAAACGCCTCGCTTGAGGAACAAAGTATCTCGTCAGCCAAGCTATGTATTACATCGTCTGAGAAACTTAGATTCGTCAGGCTAAATAGACTCTCGCTTGAGGGACTTTGTGTCCCATCGGGAGGGATTATTTCTAATAAATCACGCTTAAAAAGGGCGACCTATATCAAGCCCCGGAGATTTGGTTTCAGCCTTGCTTAAGGGATCGATAGAAGTCCCACGTAAAAGGGTAAAACTCCTCACTTGAGGGAACTATCATCTCATAATCCAGGCTACACATTATTGTTCCTAGAAAGTTTAGAATCATAAGGTCAACTAAATTCTCGCGAGGTAAAGTACCTAGTCTTGGGATATTCTCATTAGTTGCATTTGAAAAACGCTTTTCCTTCTGCCGGAGATCTCGTTCCTAAGGAACTATGTAGTTTTATATTTGCAAAAAGCCTTGCCTATGGTAATGCCCTGGGACCTCCCCGGGAGAGGCGACTATGAAACATTACCCAGGTGGAGGTATTGCCTCGCCATGTGATCTTACCTTACGCTATGTGGAAAATTGTAGGATAAAACGTTCTCTAGGGCAGAGAGAAATTCAAAATCATTACCTAACCCACAAACTCTCTTGGAAATACGAATTCAATTATCCATTATTTGACTGAGCGGGTAGTGGTCCTTTCTGAGGAAACCCTAGGTCCTAAAGACCTTTATAAATACATCACCTTTCAAGGGAAAAAAGACACACTCTAAGTTGTTCACATCTTTTACAACTTAAAAGGGAACCACACTCCTTGTAACTATAACACGCGATTAAACTAACCACCCTCATGCAATCAAATAGCTCCGACCGCCAATAGGGCCTCTCGTCTCATGTGACTTAGTACCTTAAATAGCCTCAAATACCACAGTACAAGGCTTCCCGCTACTGTGAGGAATCCTCACCATCAAAACATTTTATACACCTACTAAGGCTTCTAAGTCTCCATGCCTTTTGAGGGAGGGAGAACACACACGCACATGTATATTTGACCACTACATCTCTTATATTCAACAATAATATATCATAGTGTGATATGATTTTAGGTCAGTGCAGCTTGGGGCATAGGTTTAATAATTGGACCAGCAATTGGAGGTTACTTGGCTCAAGTAATTGGTGCTTCTTTATTATTTTCCTTCTGTAACGAAAATAAGTATTTTGAATAACCTTATAATTTCATATCTATTTTTATCTAACATACTTCTACTTGTTTCTCAAATACTTGTGTGAAAATTATTTTCCAGCCAACAGTGAAATACCCTCATCTATTTCCAAAAGATTCATTTTGGGATAAGTAAGTGGATTTTTATTTGATTTTTAGCTTCATAATATTTTAACAACTTATATTTTTCTTCTTCCAACTTTATTGTTGGTGACTGTAATTATCAAAACATAATCTTGTTGCAGGTTTCCATATTTCTTGCCTTCCCTTGTAACATCATCTTTTGCAGTTGTGGTAGCAATTGCCTGCATCTGGCTTCCGGTATAATGACATTTCATAATGTAGAAACATTTTTGTAAAAGTATTTTAGCTCATCCATGATTTTACCATCAATGTAATTACTTAAAATTCCTGCATCACTATAGGAAACACTGCATAACCACCCTCTAAGCAATGAGTCTATTGAAGATGCTGAAGTTGCTGAAACTGGAAGTAAAAAGAAAGGTGTAGACAAAATAATCCAAAAAGATGAAAACCTCTTGAAGAACTGGCCCTTAATGTCATCTGTTGTTGTGTATAGCATTTTCTCACTTTGTGATATTGCTTATCAAGAGGTAGTTTTGATTTTGAGTTAACTTATTTGGACTTGTAAGACTGTTTGAAAGAGTTAATAAAAAGAAAACTCATAAGATACATGTAAATAGTTTGAACTTATTTTATTTTTTGTTTTAGATATAATGGTTATACATAAGTACTTATAAACATCATTCTACTTCATGATAGGTTTTCTCGTTATGGGCTGTTAGTCCTAGAAGGTTGGGTGGTTTGGACTTTACAACTGATAATGTAGGGGATGTTCTCGCAATATCGGGTATGTCTATGATATGTTTATTCTACTTAACTATATTTATTTGAAGACAACACATGCACTTTTGTGATTTGTACATGATGTCATGTGATTTATACATTATTTTGTGCATTTCATGTTTCAAGATATTCCGCTTAATAACTGATCTGTTTTAAAATTATGAATGATCAGGTATCGGTCTTATTGTTTCCCAGATTTTCTTCTACCCGACATTGGAAAGAACTTTTGGACCTATAAGATTTGCTCGCATCACTGCGGTGAGTTTTTGCCATTCCTTGAAATTGATGCAACTCGGCATTATAATGGTTCTTATTCTAAATGTGTGTTGTCACCTTATGTAGGTTTTTTCCATACCTTTGTTGCAAAGTTACCCATTCATAGCAATGCTTTCTGGCATGACACTATACCTAGTTATTAATATTGCTTCCATTTTGAAGAATGTTATAAGTGTAAGTTTTATCTTTTTGTTTACTTAACCAATCAAGAGTGATGAAATTTCCAACATTATTGCATTAGCTTGACCATATCTGTAATACAAGCAATTACCTAATTGTATTTTTATGGATTTCAGATGACCATAATCACTGGTTTATTTATTTTGCAAAACAGATCAGTGGTAATTTTTTGTTTGATTCTACACTTTTATTTCTTTTCAAAAGTCGTTAGAGGAAGTTGTGACATAAATGTAATGTTGATTCGAAAAATAGGAACAACATCAAAGAGGGGCAGCTAATGGCATTGCTATGACTGCAATGTCAATATTACAAGCAGTTGGTCCAGCTGGAGGTGGTGCAGTGTGAGTTTCCCTTTGATTTCTCTACCTATCTTTCTTTGTTCCAAATGTGACATAAACTTGTTTACCAATGTATATGTTTTGTAATTTGTATAAATTCTCATGTTACTTTTCAATTTATGATAGATTGAAAATATCATAATATATTTAATTTCCTTATTCTGAATTTGGTCAATGCAGATTAGCTTGGTCACAAAAACGGATACATGCATCATTTCTTCCAGGTACGATTCATATGAGTGATGCTCAACTTATTTTTAATGAGTCAATTTCGACATCCTGTTAACGAATAATTTATTGACAAGTAATACATGAAAAATAAAGACACATAAAATTTAATGAAGAGATATTATTGATTCATCCTATTCAACTTGCACACATACACTTTGATAATTCGAACATCACAACGAAAGTTGCTTGGTTTCTCTCCATTGCGGTCAATATGGACTACATCTGAGATAACTCGTATAATATAAATCTATAATAATATCATACAAATGTTAATTGGTACTAATATAACATAAATGTCCAACAGAATCATTTATATACATGTTTAAAATATTCAAAATACATCATATGACACATGGTATACATGAGTGCTTAACAAAACACTAAGATATATACAACAAAAATAATCTTAAAACATCAAATTCTTTAAAACATCTTCGCACAACTTTACCTTTTCCTTCATCCTGCCTTGAGTTACCTAAAAATTCAACAATATAATGGGGTTAGATGATAATCTCAACGAGTTCTCATATCTTATGAGTCCACTCAGCTATAAAGAGACTATCAAATGATATATTAACTTAATCCTGTCAACTTTATAATACTTTTGTACACTTACACAGTAGACTGAGACTTAAGTATTTGAGGGAATTTTTGTCTTGTATGGAAATATAAGAACTGAGTTCACATAACTCAGTGCATCGCTATTTAGGAATACAATCATAGAGTAACTTTCCCCAACCAATCTCATGTCTAGGACTATGGATATGGGTCACGATTCTCTATCACGTCAGACAACTATCCCTGGCCTATCCTACACCTAGGAAATGGGACAAGACTCACAGGGGTCTACTATATAAGGAACATTTGTCCCTGAAAAACACCTCTCTTAGGTCAAGACACTGGTCACGAACCTCCTATAATAATTGGAGTACTTTCCCCGACAAGCATCTCGTACATGGACAAGACATAGGTCACAATATCCATCAATCATAATACTCTTTCCAGAAAGCACCTCTTACATGGGTTTAGGTATCCATCTCAATGGTTCATCTATCCTGATCACTACTTTATATAAGATTCGGACTCGGGATAAGCATAAATGTAGGTCATTCTCGAATACGAGATTATTCTCATCAATCACAATATCACAACATGTTTTCATACAAGAACCATTATCTCACAACTAGACATCGTTCACCATCTTTTCCATATGGCATTCTCGTAGATGGAATAATTCATTTCAAACAACTACTCGTTCATGGGTACCACCGAGTTACCTATCACGTTCGAGTATCACAATCTAAGTTATTAATCATAACATAGTCATATTTGTTAATATTATTCACCTAGTATGATTCTAGGTTTAGTCTCATCATTACCATCATAGGATTTGATCAATTATTATTCGTTTAATGCAAACATATCATAGTATAATTCATAAAGCATACATGGTAGTTCATTATCATTCATCAAACATTATTTGTCTTACAAGCATGGTTTTTTACTTCATCATATGATAAAGCATTGAACTAGATTTCTAACGGTTCCTACCGCATCTCGTTTCAAGTTACGAAACTCAAGACACGCTAAGATCGGTGCCACTAAAAATAATGCATCAGCAGGCTCGCGGATTCATGGCAAAGAGAGCCAAGCCAAAATGCACCATTTTGCATAATTTGTTGTCTCGTTGAGTGAGGAAACTTGTGGCTAAGTGAGACTCTATTTTTCAGAACTGATATAACTCCATTTTCTTCAACTTTTATACACTCTAAATTATGCACAATCACCTCCTAACATATCCAATCATCTCATACCTTAAATTCAACCTCATACAATGAAATACAACATGTTTCTTCATTTCTCAACATCATTAATCTCTAATAATCCAACACAACTTCTAACACAAGCAACATAACCTCAACATAACACCATATTATGCACAAACAACATCAAACTTCATGAATTAACATAATAGTCATGCAACACAACAAGAAGATCATGCATCAAACATCAATTTCACAACATAGTAAGGATTCACAAAACCATAACTCCAAATTTTTCATGAAATTTCCCCAAAACTAAAACTAGCTATGAACCCACCTTATGAGAGGAAGATGATGATGAGTTGAGATGAGATGAGGTGAAATTTCTTCCTTCTTCCTCGCTCCAAGTTGATCTTCTTCATCTTTCATGAGTTCTTCTTCTCTTCTCTTCTTTATCTTCCTCCTCTATTCTTTCTCTTTCTATGTTTAGTACAAAATGAGAAAATGAAGGAAAATAAAAGATAATGAGACACTAAGTAGTAAACTTGTTTGTCTTCTACTGAGTCCAATCGAGCATTTACCATTTTAATCTTGTCAAAACCTTCAAATCTCCAAAATGTCATTCTCTATTAATTTATTAAAATATCCTTCCTTACAAACTAGGAAGAATTAAGAGAATTAAGTAAGAATTAATCTCATCTGAGTTCACTAATTACTCAATTTGTCTAAATTGACAAAGAATAGAGTATATTGGACTCATTTTGTCCCACTGACAAAGAACAAATGATTTAAGTGAGATATTACAATATCCAACAAGTCAGACCAATTTGTTAGGGACCAATTTACAGAGAAGTTATATATTAAAATGAAGGCTTAATTGCAATTTTGGTCCCTCTATTTTTATTTTCTTTTAGTTTTAATCCCCCTATTTTAAAATCCGGAATTTTTGTCCTTCTATTTTTAATTTTTTTGAGTTTTGATCCCCCTATTTTAAAATCCAAAATTTTGATCCCTCTATTTTCATTTTTTTTTTTTTAATTTTGATCCCCTATTTTAAGTTTTGTTTTAAATTTTAATCCACTTTTTCAATTGGGAACAAATTTAATAGGGGACCAAAAATTTAAAAAAATGAAAATAAGGGGAACAAAACTCACAAAAAATGAAAATAGAGAGACAAAAATTTCAAATTTTAAAATAAGAGAAACAAAACTCAAAAAAACTGAAAATAAAAGGACAAAAATTTTGAATTTTAAAATAGAGGGATCAAAACTATAAAAAAATGAAAATAGAGAAATCAAAATTACAATTAAGTTTAAAATAAAAGATATAAAGAATATAAAGATTTATTAATATTATATAACGTAGTACAATTTTTTTCCGTCTCAAAACAACGTATGATAGAAAACAAAGGGGGTAGTAAACAAAAACACAAAATTTATGTTTTTATTGAGTGGCTTGGACAATAGAATAACATAGAAACTCTTATGTGAATATGACATAAATATACCTAAGAACATTTATGCACTCATTTCTTTTACTAGCATTTTTATCTGAATTCATAAAGCTAACTTTCCTGCATTTAACTGCAGGAACTCATATGGTGTTCTTTGTCATGAATGTTGTTGTCGGACTTGGAGTGATATTGATGTTTACACCATTTTTAAGAGAAAAGAAGAAACCACATTCTGCTGAGATTGTTACACTATTATAAGTGAATTTTTAAATAAGGAATGAAGTATCTTAAGGTATTATGGTGAAGCAGTTACCATAAATGAACTTTTTATTTATTTAATGATGGCAGCAAAGTAAGGTGACATTTAGCTTGAACCTGTCCAAGATCTTTCCACCAAGGAGAAGTGTGGTTTTAGCCATTGATATGTTGAATATAATAATAATCAACGGCTAAGATTCAAGATCGGATACTTGTTTTCACTTATTGTGACATAATGTGTTTCAAAAATATTTATAATTTTTTTTGTTTTACTATTATTTGTTTGTTTCTGTGTAGTCTAGACTTAAATTTATATATATATTTTTAATAAATATTAGTAGAAGATCCATTCGTCCGTACGGGGAAGTCTCAACGTATAAATTAGTCGACGATAAACATTTTATTTTAAAATAAGACTATAAAAAATAACAAATTTTGAATTGAAATGCAGACAATGTAATTGATATAACAGTATCAAAATTACAGCAATGAAGAATATAGTAATCGAAATAAACTTTATAATAGTACAAAATGTCTTGGAATAACAAAATCATAAACTATCCAACAAAGGATATTAGAAAGTGAAGTTCTAAGAACCTCCACTCATGTTACTTGAAGAATTGATAGGCCAAATTGTAGAGATGGCATAACCTACTACAAACATATTTAAAGAATTGTGAATTAGTTATATATTAGAGTCATAGATAGAAAGATTATTATTTTGACACACAAATAAAATGGGATAGTAATAAGTATAAAATAATAAAATAATTGATATCCCGATGATGTTATGGAAAACTTCTTTAAAGAAAATATTTGTGGTTTTAGGTAAAGAGTTATTGTCCTTATTATGTATTTTCAGATTAACTTTACTCTTAACTCTATAAATAGCGAAATATAATTGTCTATGACTGCAAACATTCTTGGGCTAATATAAACCAACATAATTTAAAGATTGATCTTGAGATTTGTTGATTGTCATAACAAATGACACTATAATTAGAAATTGTCGTCTGATGAGTTTAAATGGCTATGACAATGAGAAGGAGACAAAGACATTCTCGGGATATATATAGTGTTTCCAATATTTGTACATGAAATAATTTTTGCTTCGATTACATGGTTGGCCAACCTAGTAACTCTCAATCTTATAGCTTGTACGAATGGTTTAAATTCCCATTCGATTTTATGTAATTGTCTTGTTTTAGGTTGTGCTTGTATTCTTGTTAGGTTGAGATTTTCTTAATCTCTTTAATATAATATTTGCTTATCAAAAAAAAAAAACTCTCAATCTTGTACCATTACAAAGTTCTTTTGTATTCTTGTTGGGTTGAGATTTTCTTAATCTCTTTAATATAATATTCTTTGGTGTCACCTACATTTAAAAAAAATGAGTAATGGTAAATTGTTTAAAACTAAGCATCATGAAAATATAAAGACATCGCATACCAAAAGACATGGACTAACAAAGCATGAATTGGAAACAAATTAAATAACCATGCTGCATGTATATACCACAGCAACATCAATTGGTATGAAGTCCAACGCTTATGTGATATAGTAGAAATTAGCATGTTGCAGGTATATACAATTGCTACATGAAAAAACGGATACCATGGTGTGCATAACATACATTGGTATAGCATAAATGTTGAATGTGCTATAATAAATATAATGAGAGTAATACTGCCATAAAGTGATACTCTATAATTTATAATGCATTGAAATATGAATAATTTATAATGAATAAAGTTATACTGTTATATTTGAATTTTTTTTATAATAGCTATATATTAAGAATTAAATATTAAAATATTGAACTTTTCAAACAATTGGCGAAAACGTGTAATTGGAATATGAGAAAAAGCAAGTCGCCATACCAATTGGCGAAAAAGGCAAAGTGATTTTTTTAGTTTTTGCTGTAAATTGTATTTTTAATTTTTATTATTTTATTAATTCCAATTAATGTTTTAAAGTATTTATCATTAATATTTTGGAACTTTTAAATATTATTTTGTTTTTAAACATAATTATTATTAATAAACATAATTTATAATATAATTAAAATATATTAATGTAATGAAAATATTAATATAATTAAAATTACAACAACAAAAATATTAATGTAGTGAAAATTACAACAACAAAAATATTAATATAATTAAAATTACAACAACAAAAATATTAATGTAATGAAAATTACAACAACAAAAATATTAATATAATGAAAATTACAACAACAAAAATATTAATAAATAATGAAAATTACAACAACAAAAATAACTAATGGCCGACTCTATCCAAGCGACCACCGGTGCCACACTGTGGAGGGTGCGCGTTGCGACGAGGTCTACGACGAGGTTGTTGTGGTGTGTCGGGCCATTGTGTGTTGGGTTGTGGAGGAGGATGTTGTTGGGACGGTCCCGGCGTATCAGATAGATTTTGCATCATTTGACCCCAATAGCCGGGAGGTCCACTGTCAATGGCGCTTCCGTAGTCAAGCCCAATGCCTATGTTTTCGAAGGATTGTCGGGGAGGTTGGGTGGAGTATGGCCGATATGGTTGTCCGAATTGGTACATGGAATTGGGTTGGTCTAGGTGTGTTGGTTGTTGTGGGGTGTGGTAGTCAAACAATGGATAGTTGGAGGGGTAGTTGGATGGGTAGTTGGGTGGGTAGTTGGAGAGGTAGTTGGATGGGTAGTTGGATGGGTAGTTGGAGGGGGTAGGATCGAATGAGTTGTCTGGGCTATAGGTGGATGGGTTAGGCTCAAAAGACGTATCAGGGTTGTAATATGGTGGTCGAGGTTGGGATTGGGTGGATGGCATGTAGGGTTGTCGTTGTTGATAGGGGGTATTTGTTGGCACGTATGGGTTTTCGTAAGGCTGATTTTGGACATTGTCATGTTGATGTGTGTTGGACGAAGAATCGCGTTCCCTTGGATCGGCCAAATAGGTTGGCTGGGACAGGAAAGGCTGAGATGTCGTGACAGACCTAAACCAAGTCATGTATTGAAGACTTGGCCGGGCCCCGTGCACAATACGGTCGGTTAATACGTGATGCCTTCTTCTTTTCCAATGTAAATGCAACTCCTTCGCAAACTCCTTCCAGTCACTCACACTCCATTGTGCGTCCACCCGCTTTTGATGCCACTTCCCCAAGTCTATCGGAGCATCTAGAATATCCTGATGCATCCCAAATTGTAGTTTGACCCTGTCAGTTTGGTGCATCTCCACTGTAGTGAACCTAATTATTGGTGTCCTTGATGTCCACACAGCGACATCATCGGTGTTGGGCTGGTGGTCGAGACCCTCGTACAGCATCCAGACAAACTACAATACAGTTGGATAAATAAGTTAGACAGAGTTTGAGAGGTTTATGCATATACATTAAAAAAATTAACGGTAAATAACTTACATCATCTGCCCCAAGGTGGTCGATGAGGTTGCGGTATTGAATTATAGAGTGCCTGGGACATCTCTGATAATTCATCCCTGGAACAGACCATCTAAAAAATAAACACATATAAATTAGCTTTTAAAACACATCTCAGAAATTATTCACTTAAAAAGGAAATGTACTTGCTAAGTAATTTTGGAAAGATACTTACTTGTTAGCATACGGGAATGTAAAAGAATTCAGGTTTATTGGAGCAAGCATTGACATCCTTGACCAACCCCACGCTTGCAGAAGATAAACACAACCATAAAAAGTACATGAATTTTTTTTGAAGTTTTACAAAGTGCGCTATACAGATGGACGAGGACCGCTGATCCCCAACTATATTCGCACACTTTGTTAATATTGGCCAATAATGGTAAATACATAGTATGGACGGTGTTTCCAGTTCCCTCTGGAAATAAAAGTGCCAGAATAAAATCATAATATAGCACCGAGTTTTTTGTATTTTCTCATACTCGGTGCTATCATTAGTTAAGACAATACGATTGTATTGTTCTCTAAGGTATCTTAAATTAATCCCCTGACCCCTCGGGCGTCCCTCGCTTTCCGCATGAGGTACGTCCGTGCAAAGAGGGGCACCCAATAAATCTTCGCAAAGTCGGTCAGGTACACCAACTTTGCCGCAAACGGCCTTACCATCGATGTGTAGGCCTAACAACATGTAAACGTCCTGAAGAGTCACAGTACACTCACCAAAAGGTAGGTGAAATGTATGTGTCTCCGGTCTCCAGTGTTCTAACAACACTAGAATGAATTTCATGTTGAGGGAGTAAGATTTGATTTCGAGCACAACACCAAACTCACAATGAGTAAGGTAGTCCTTAATGAGCGGGTCGCGTGGTATATAATCATGCACATGGCACCAAAACCTTGATACATCCTGCAAAATAATTAATGTTACATTAGAGAAGGAGTAAAATTACTAACATTTTGTTAGACAAAATTGTAAACATAGACAAGAACAAAAGACTTACAAACTCGACAATGTTTTCAGTTGTCCCTCTGTGTGAGTCACCCATTGTGAGTAAAGACATTTTTGTTTGGGATTTTGAGATTTAGAAAGTTTGAGAGTTTAGGACTTAGAAAGTTTGAGAGTTCAGGACTTAGAAAGTTTGAGAGTTTGAGAGTGTGAGGCAGAAGACCCTATATTTATATTCCACAATTGAAGCAATGTTGTAAACGCATGCTTAATAAGTGTTATTGTGCATGTGTGTTGTAAACGCATGCTTAACAAGTGTTCTGATGCATGTGTGTTGTACACGCATGCTAGACAAGTGGCCCGATGCATGCAGGAAGAGAATCTTGTAGGTCTGCATGGTCAATATAGGCATGCATGGTCACATGTGAAGCACAGAGTTTCACATTGTATGTTATTAATTGCATGTTAAAGCAGATTCCTTCATTTACTGCATGCAGGGTCACTTGTAGCTTTGGCAGAAAGAGAATCTCTTAGGCATGCATGGTCACTTGTGAAAGGCAGAACTTTGCATTGTCCCGTCTTATCAAGTATAATGCATGCGTTTTATTTATTATAGTTTAT